TCTGCGAGTGGAGCCGGTTTCCCTCAAGGGTATTAGGTAACCCTTGGTGATTGAGGAAACAATTCGGTAGGGTGTTGAAACACGCTTGCTGCGCCATTTTCCCTAACACGGAGATACGTGCGCCTTTTTATCTGTCAGTAAAGTTCCCCATCAGGTGAGCCCTGCAGATTCCTCCGTGGCCCCCAGCACTGACTCAGCGGAGGAGTCACTTGCTGGCCCACTACGTTGTAGGTCTGCCCACTGGTCAGCCCGCGTTTTGGGTAAAGGTGCCTGCTATGAGTGATCCCCACTAGGCGATCCCATATGCTTATTCCGCCACGGTTAAGTCCCCCCCCTGGGCGGACCCGTGTCTTCCCTCCCCGCTAACCACTCTTTTGCTATGCGTACTCCCCCTTTTTAGGGCTAGTCCATATGTAATTCTGCCATCTATCCCCCCTTGGGTAACGGATGGCCTCCGCAGCGTCCTCCCTATCGGGATTGCACGCTTCCCAACGTACTGTCGTATTTTCCTAGAATTATCTAGATGCTCACGACTTCCCAAAAAATATATATAAATCCGTAAAACTTCTGTTGAAGTAGGATAAATTAGGGCCAGGGACACGTTGGAGGACCGCGCCCCCCATGATGTGGGTGCGTCACGCTTGCTTGACTATCTCCTCATCGGGGGTGTTGGTAAGGTGCAGTCATTATGGCGCTTTCAATGGGCTCCCAATGCGTGGATTTTACAATCAAATCCACTTATAGTGCTGAAGTTCCCCCCGAAGGGGAAACGTTCGAGGTTACTAAAGTAACCCTCGTTCCCCGAGGAGGGGAACGGAAGCACTATACTCCGTCGCCATAATGACTGTCCCTTAGCTGTTGAAAGTCTCTTCAGCTTAAAAAGGATAGCGTCTGCTGGCGCCAGGTGAGCTTATATACTCAGTTGATTGCTTATGCCGCTCACCTGCGCAGGCTTGCGCTGCCAATTCATTCTTAATTGGCCCGTTCAATACTCTTTCAGACGAGTAGCTTCTGAACCGAACCTCCCTATGCGTGGATTTTACAATCAAATCCACTTATAGTGCTTCCGTTCCCCTCCTCGGGGAACGAAGGGTTACTTTAGTAACCTCGAACGNTTCTTTACTGTTTTGTAATAAAAAAATAACAATCTCAGAAAGAAATACACTGATAGTTAGAAAACGGCAGGGTGTTATAAATATGTTAGTTTTATTTCAAAGAGTTATAAAATTACAAAAATTAAAAACTCTCTGTGTATCTATCCACTTGAACCTTGCAGATGAGTGATTAATCCGCTCATAAATAAGCTGATTTGACGATGTTTTTAAATGCTTTTTCCAAAGCTTGAAAAGCTGTCAGTGATGTCATCAGCGCACAAGCAGCCAATAGTGTTCAGCTTTTTCTGTTGACTCCCCCCTCAAATTTTCATTGGCTGTGGTTTGGTAGCTTGAATGAGCTGATGGGGAATGAGTTGTTGTCAGATCATGTAGTGTGTAGTCCCCCTCTTGTGGATCGTTCACGGAGTGTTGCGTAGTGTGAACACCACAGAGATCAAAAGACACAAAGTCAAGTCATGTAGTGTGAACAGCACAGCGATTTGCTGATGTTTAAAATCCTGTAGTGTGAACTAGGCTTAAGGTGGTGTGTTGCTGGTGGAATTGAACATGGTGCTGATTTGATTTAGTCAATTTACTTAAGTCTCATGTTTTTTGGACTGTGGGAGGAAACCGGAGGACCCGGGGAAAACCCACGCAAGCATGGGGAGAACATAAACTCCACATGGAAATGCTGTCCGGCTGGGTAGAGACCCGAGCCGGAGGCATTCTTGATGTGAGGCCACAGTGCTAGCCACTGGGCCGCCGTGCTGCCCTATAGAGAAAAAGAGGGGTGGAAGGGGGAATTCCTTAAGATGAAGATGACTAAAGGTAAGACGCTTGGTTATTTATACTGGGTTAGGAATCGTCTGATTGGCGGTTCGTACAGCTTTGACTTGGGCCAGCCGTGTCAATCATAAGCACGTGATCCTCTCGAAATTAGTTTATGAATAAACTTCACAATGTGTGTTTTGGTGGCACAAAAAAACAATGTTCCCAGCCTCACAAAGTGCCTGATATTCTAGACCTGCAAATCACCTTTATACAACAGTATCTGACCACTGAATGCAACAATGGACCAGTAAGAATCAAGTGTTCCAGCAAACCGTGAAATAAGCATTTTTATTTTTATGTCTTGATGTCAAAATTATATACACCATCCCTCAGCACCCCCTCTCTCTCTTTCTCTCTCTGTATAACAGCTCACAGATGTGCAGTTATTTTGACTGAAGGGTGTTTGGTCAGCTTCTATAAGCACCTTTGTGGTTGTCTAAAACTGTGTGCATGTGTGTGTGTGTTCGGTCGTGTGTTCTTGAGGGAAAGGAAAACACCCACATCAACTTTACAGCCCAGTATCGTAACTGTGAGTTTCTTACTTTTCACACACAGTGACTTACCCTGCACTAATTACAGCAGCAGTAACCCCAGGTTAAGTGTCTCGCTCAAGCACACAAAAGCACGATTGTGCTCTCAGCAAGGTCATTTTTTCAAATCAGTTTATTTACTTTTTTCCATAATACTTTTAGTAACAGTTTTTCATATATAATGGATATATACAGTATATAGGAAAAACTGATACTGAAAACATTCTGGAAAAAAAAAGTAAATAAATAGATTTTTTTTTTAAAATAAAAACATATATAAAGCTTCCTATAGAAAATATTAATTTAAATGAGAGATTTGTAAGGGGTGTACTAGTCTTATATGTTGAGCACTGTAAATGTAGATGTAATAAAGTGTTGTTTATTTATATATATGTATATATATGTATATATATATATATATATATATATATATATATATATATATATATATATATTCTATATTTCAGACCATTCTCTGTAAACCCTAGAGATGGTTGTGCGTGAAAATCCCAGTATATCAGTTTCTGAAATACTCAGACCAGCCCGTCTGGCACCAACAACCATGCCACGTTCAAAGTCACTTAAATCACCTTTCTTTCCCATTCTGATGCTCGGTTTGAACTGCAGCAGATCATCTTGACCATGTCTACATGCCTAAATGCATTGAGTTGCTGTCATTTGATTGGCTGATTAGAAATTTGTGTTATCGATCAGTTTGACAGGTGTACCTAATAAAGTAAACGTTAAGTGTGTGTGCGTGTACAGGGTTCAACACTAAGGATTTTTCCTACTGGCCCGATTGGGCCAGTGGTTCAGATTTTTACTTGCCCTGCTAAAATTTTCATTGGCCCCACCAAATAAAATATGTTATTAGCTATTTCTTAGCCACATACAATATCTTAAATAATGTTTCAAAAGCCAAACATAATTGAGTTTGTGGTCAGTTTTAGTATTTTTTTCATGTTTTTAAAGAAATATTATTCAGTTCATCAAGTTCAATAAATGTAAAAGTTTTTTTAAATTGTAAATTATTATTTTTTTACAATTTTAAATAACTGCTTCCTTATTGTATGCAGTTTCAAACAAAATTATTATTTCAGACATTTTTGCTTTTATTACTATTACTATTAAAAATAAAAATAATAATAATAATAACAACAACAATAATTAATATCAGAGTGATTTCTAGATCATGTGACTCTGAAGACTGGAGTAATGATTTTGAATTTATAATCACTGGAATAAACTATTAAATTAAGTGATAAACTACTTTTAAATAGTTATTTTATAGTGCAATAACATATCACAATTTTACAATTTGTACTGTATTTATGATGAAATAAATGCAGCCATGTTGGCTAAAATTATGCATTATAGACTTAAAGTATGGAGAGCAATAACAGATGAACAACGACTGCGTAAGATCATGAAGCAGATCAGTGTTGATCTTTCTTTCGGGCTGTCAGTGCAGAAATAAACAAAACAATAAGCCTAACACAACATATTATAAGATTAAAATATGGAAAAATTATCAGATGGTAACTTTTCCTAATGGATAAACAACTCTCAGTAATATTTCAGCATGCTTTCATTTTCGTATTAGACATGAAACGCACATTTTGCCGGTAGGAATGACATCTCTGCCTATTCTCATTAATTCTCTCTTCGTATAGCCGTAAATAAGGCTATTACACAATCATAAGACACTGTAATATAGCCTGGTTCGTTAGTTTATTGGACCATTTTGTTTTCTTTATAGTCGATCAGCTCAATTGAGTAGAGACCATCTTATTCAGGCGATGTTGGGCCGATTGATTTGGCGCAGATCCCAACGTGATTGCTGGACATACGCCAAACAATCTGCGATAATGGGGGAAATGAGACAGATTCCGAAACAAACGTCTATGTGTGAAAGCACCCTAAGATTGTTTGTGCACGCAATTGACAGACAGTCGCAGCAAAACTTTTGTGACAAGGCAGCACTGGCCCGATCTGGCCAGTAACTATTCTGTACGCAGGTTCGAGTGTCTCGCACGAATCCCGGGCAGGACTTATTGTCGAGCCCTGATATATATATCTCTCAATATCATATCTCAATAGCATTTTGGCAAGCCTATTCTTGATGCCAATCTATCCTTAACTCACCTGTTCTCAAATTGAGCATTCACTGGCTTCCAGCATTTGCACAAGCCTTCTTTAAATAAACTTCTCAAATAACTTCCTCATATCTCACCAAAAACATTCCCTACTTTTTGTTTAATTTAAAAAAGATGCCTTGAGGGCCTTTTCTCTGTGTGAATATTTGAGGATGAAAGAGTGAGAATGATGTGATATTTGCAGCCATATTTCCCCAGGTGCCATAAATTTTCATACTTCAAAGCTGAGCGTTTCTGATCCTGAGAGTCTGAAAGTCTGAAGTAATTATTCCGTTTGCTCTCTCGTCGCTAGTTCTGCAGGATGGAAAGAAACAAAGGATGTTTTTTGAGTTGATTAAATGCGTGCAAGGCAGATAACTGACCCGTTTCTTCTCTCTGTTCTTTTCCAGCCAATGTTTTGGACTCTATGCTGCTGAGGAATTCTGGGAAGGTGGAAGAGCGTCGGGAGACAGGAAGTGATGCGCCAGCTTTACCTCAGCGCTTCCTTTGGTGTTACTGTTATCATCACTGTCCGGAGGACTCCACGAATAACACGTGCAGGTATTAGGACACATGATGGCGATTCTACAATTGGAGATGCAATTTGCATTATTTAAAGTTATAATTGTTTTCAAAAAGTTAAAGTATTTCCTTTTAGTATTGTCTGTCATCTCCGTTATTGTCAAATAATTGCTTACCAAATATTTCACTATATTTTTTACTTTGTAATAATAATCAGAGGCGCAAAAAGGGGGTATGCAGGGAATGCGGCACATAGGGGCGCCACACATGGGGAGGTCTATCTAGATAGACATGGTCTATCTAAATAGATAGATAGATAGATAGATAGATAGATAGATAGATATAGATAGTTAGGTAGATAGATAGATAGATAGATAGATAGATAGATAGATAGATAGATAGATAGATAGATAGATAGATAGATAGATAGATAGATAGATAGATAGATAGATATAGATAGTTAGGTAGATAGATAGATAGATAGATAGATAGATAGATAGATAGATAGATAGATAGATAGATAGATAGATAGATAGATAGATAGATAGATAGATAGATAGATAGATAGATAGATAGATGGATGGATGGATGGATGGATGGATGGATGGATGGATGGATAGATAGATAGATAGATGGATAGATGCATGCATGCATGCATGCATTCATACATACATACATACATACATAGATACATACATACATACATACATACATACATACATACATTCATACATACATACATACATACATACATACATACATACATACATACATACATTCATTCATACATACATACATACATACATACATTCATTCATACATACATACATACATACATACATACATACATACATACATACATACATACATACATACATACTGTACATACTGTACATACTGTACATACATTCATACATACATACATACATACATAGATACATACATACATACTGTACATACATTCATTCATACATACATACATACATACATACATACATACATACATACATACATACATACATACATTCATTCATTCATTAACACCCGCCCAATGCGGGTAGATTTCATCTTTGGCGGGTTAGACAGACATCTCCACTAGCCACTTTGGCTGGTTGAAAAGAATTTTAAATTGTGGTTATCTTAAAAGCAGGGTTTGACTATAAGAATGACCCAATACGCGTGCAAATGTGATCTTAGAATGGAGTTTTGTAATTAATTACAAATAGCCAGGCAAAAAAAGTAATGCTAATGAACCCACAGCCCTGCTGCTTTCAAGAGCTCTAAATATGTCTTTTTGTAAGCAGCACCGGTTGCTTTCGCTTTAAACAGATTGTTAATTGACCTTAACCGTGTGACCACCCTTCCATTATCACACAGTATGTTTTTCACCTGCTTTCTTTTGCTTACGGTTATTTTTGTTTATATGGTTTAATTATAAATTTTTTACAACATAATTGCTTTAATATGAGATAAACTCTCCATTTATGTGTACTTAACTGGTGATCTGAGAGACCTTAGTGAGGACAGATTACTGTGCATATGTTTGATACATGACAGTAATTATTTTAAAAGTCAATTGTTTATCTTTGTTTTTTTTTTTAAAGAAATGTTTTGTTAAATAAAAAGTATAGTATAAAGCTATATTTAGCTTGTTTTGACACATTTAAGTTGGAGGTAAATCCTTGGAGGTAAATTAGGTAAATCCTTAATTTTGAGTAAAGCCATGTGAAATAAAAACTATATGTATGTATATATATATATATATATATATATATATATATATATATATATATATATATATATATATATATATATATATATATATATATATATATATATATATATATATATATATATATATATATATATATATATATATATATATATATATATATATATATATATATATATATACATATATATATATATATATATATATATATATATATTTATATATATATATATATATATATATATATATATATATATATATATATATATATATATATATATATATATATATATATATATATATATATATATATATATATATATATATATATATATATATATATATATATATATATATATATATATATATATATATATATATATATATATATATATATATATATATATATATATATATATATATATATATATATATATATATATATATATATATATATATATATATATATATATATATATATATATATATATATATATATATATATATATATATATATATATATATATATATATATATATATATATATATATGTGTGTATATATATATTATTACTGATACTGTGAAAATTTCCTTGCTTTGTTAAACATCATTTGGGAAATATTTAAAAAGAATAAATAATTCTAATAATTCTAACTTCAACTGTACATTAACCTACATTTTAAACACAAGTTTCCAGTTAACATACTTTTAAACAATGCCACACATTAGTGAGAAACACACGCATCGCAGGCTCACTGGAAATATGTTAACCATAAACATAAATATCAATAAACATACATTTTACTGAGTAAAAGGCAGTAAAACAGCAACAACTTTTATTCCATTTCACACTAAT